AATATTTTAAAAACTACCCTGTCGATTTTGGCGATATTATGTGTCCTTATAGTACGTTTAAAAATATTAATGACGTGTTTTTTCTTATTTGCCTCTGACCATCCCCTGCAAAGTTACGGGGTATGATAGATAACCCCTTTCCTTAAGAATAATGTGATAAACTGTTACACTGTTGAACAATATTTTGAAGAAAAGCATAAATTAGATGTAAATTAAGATTTACGCAGTAAAATAAACCCTATACGACATTTAGGGGTGGCTGGGGTTAACTACCCTAACCACCCCAAAAATTAAATTTTTTTGCGAAAAAATCGATTTTGGTGCAATTTACGACGATGATTTTTTTATACGTTAGTACTATTGTAAGAACAAGGGTTAGAAGTTTGGGGTAGAAAATATATTTTCGCTTACAAACTTTCATACTCCTACAGAAAAATGTTTTTTATCTTTATTCTATTTAAATAACACAAAAGTTAGGATAATTATATAAATATTTATTAATAATGAGTTAAAAAGTAACTGACAAAAGAATGGTTGACTATCACAAATTGTATTCTACATTATTAATTTAATTTCTTTTTTTTTTACTTTTTTTATTCGATATATTGTTGGCAATAATGAAAATCATGGAAAAAATGTTTTAAACACAACGATTGTTTACACCATGCATAAGTTATAACAGCTATATCTCCACAGATATCGCACGTAGGTTTTTCATTGGAAAAGCAAACCCCCACGGGATTTTCAAACTGTTCTGGTCTCTCCTCTATATATCCAGATGCAAACCAGGCGTATTTAAAAACATTAATAAATTGTGGGGAAGACAACTGGTTATGCGTTAAGGATTGCAATTTTAAGATATTATCTCGCTGATGCAAATTGACATCGTACTGGTAGAGAATAGCTTGATCAGAAAGTCTTCTAATGAAATTTTTCCATATTCTAAAACCAAATACATCCAGGGGTTGAATTTGACTTGTCCCTGTAGGTATAGAGAAATATTTAAACTTAACATCCGATGGAGTTACTTCACTAATAATTTCAGGGCAGTGACCACTCCAAGAATCCAGTAATAGTAATGATTTAGGTCCGGTGTTTGGGAAATAGACATTTTGTAGCCAATTTCATATGAGCATAATTCAGTTTACCAGTTACCTTCTTTGATAAAATCTTTAGCTAATATTTGTACAGGCCAGTTACTTTTTAACTCAATATTAATAAATATTTATATAATTACCCTAATTTTTGTGTTATTTAAATAGAGTAAGGATAAAAAAGCTTTTTCTGTAGGAGTATAAAAGTTATTAGCGAAAATAAGCTAATAATAAGCAAATAAGAAAAAACACGTCATTAATATTTTTTTCCGTCGACCGTGTATTTATATGATTTATAAATGTATACAAAATCATTCATTAATGACACCTATTAATAAACGATTTTCTATTAATAAACGATTTTAAGAAAGTCCGACCTAACTAAATAGTAGTCAATTTAATAAATATTCTCCAATGAAATTTGTAATACCGACACAACCGACCACTATATCTATTCGGTAAGACTACAAAAATAAATTATGACACATTAAAAGTGAGGTTATTTTGCCAATGACAGAATTGGGAGATTTTTCAACGATGGATTTTCTCTATTTTGTTGAAAAGACGGTCAATGGAAAAATATTGTAACTAACTCGTATATTAAAATGCGATTAATTATCTCAATAATTAACATAAAAAAAATATCTTAAAATATCTCGATAATTAATCGCCTTCATTAATAGACTTGTTGGTTAAATAACTATAAACGTACTATAAGGGTAAATAATATCGCCAAAATCGACAGGGTACTTTTTAAAATATTCCAAAAAACTAGGGGTAGTTTACCCCCTGAAGTCCTCAGATATATGTGTGATATATCAATGGAAAGCTCTTTGAAAATGAATATNTTAATAAATATTCTCCAATGAAATTTGTAATACCGACCCAACCGACCACTATATCTATTCGGTAAGACTACAAAAATAAATTATGACACATTAAAAGTGAGGTTATTTTGCCAATGACAGAATTGGGAGATTTTTCAACGATGGATTTTCTCTATTTTGTTGAAAAGACGGTCAATGGAAAAATATTGTAACTAACTCGTATATTAAAATGCGATTAATTATCTCAATAATTAACATAAAAAAAATATCTTAAAATATCTCGATAATTAATCGCCTTCATTAATAGACTTGTTGGTTAAATAACTATAAACGTACTATAAGGGTAAATAATATCGCCAAAATCGACAGGGTACTTTTTAAAATATTCCAAAAAACTAGGGGTAGTTTACCCCCTGAAGTCCTCAGATATATGTGTGATATATCAATGGAAAGCTCTTTGAAAATGAATATTAGTTTACATTTACCACATTTCGATAGCTATTTTTGTTTTCAGCCTATAAGCGAATATATATATTTCGCCCCGATTTCCAACCCTTATAACTCGCCCCAGGGACTTTATTAGCACGTATAAAAAAATACGTAAACCTTATTTTTGGCCATACTATCGCTGTACCAAATTTCAACAAAATCGGTGAGAAAATCTCGCTGAAAATTCCCTGATTGAAGAATCAATCACAGAAATAAATTCTTCAGTAACTTGGTCTTCGTCTGCTTTCTCATGTATTTCCAAATCTTTGATATATTTTTTCAAATTTAGAAAATACTTGTAGTTTTTTGTGATAATATCGTTCCTGAAAACTTGCAGTTTAGTCTCAAAAGCGCGAATGAGATCTATCATGACGATAATTGTTTTATTTATGCCTTGAAGCTTCATGTTTAACTTATTTAAATGTTGGCATAGGTCTGTAAAAAGTATCAATTTTGAAAGCTACATAACATCCAACAACTTTGGGTATTCTTCAACTTTTCCCTCATTTTGCAGAAACAGTTTGATTTCTTCCAAGCAATCAACAAATCTTTGACGTACGTTCCCGCGACTCAACCAGCGAACATTATTGGACATCAGTAAGCCATTGTACAGGGTGGTTCAAATTCGATGTCCGAATAGGCTATCTCGGAAACTATAAGAGTTAGAAAAAAAGTAGCTTACATGTCATGATCTCTTTTTTTAAATAAATTAAAAACCTCAAACCGCTATCGTCTTTTGTTTTTCCCCTAGAGGCCAAAATTGAAAATATCGCAAATCAGCAAGTGCATATAGTATTATAACTAAGACATTATATGGACACTTTTTTACAGAGAATTTGACGACGAAGTCAAAAAAAAATTTTCAGTTTTAGATTTTGAGATATCATGACAATTTTCGTTTTTTTAAATGGAAACCACCACTGATTATTCGTTTATTAAATTCGTCATTTTTTTCTGATTACAAAAATTAAACTGTAAATTTAATTTCTTTGACGCACTAAAAAAAAAGTTTATTTTTGGCTTTATTCTAAAACAATAAGAAATAGACCTGTCGAACCCTATATTTTTGTAATCAGAAAAAAATAACGAATTTAATAAGCGAATAATTAGTGGTTGTTTCCATTAAAAAAAACCGAAAATTGTAATGATAACTCAAAATCTAAAACTGAAAATTTTTTTTTGGCTACGGCATGAAATTCTCTGTAAAAAAGTGTCCATATAATGTCTTAGTTATAATAGTCCACCTATAATAATAACCAAGATAATTGCACTTGTAGGTTTTACGATATTTTCAGTTTTGGCCCCTAGGAGAAAAACAAAAGACGATAGCGCTTTGAAGTTTTCGGCATTAGCAGTTTCTCGAAAAACGAGATCATGACATGTAAGCTACTTTTTTTCTAACTCTTATAGTTTCCGAGTTAGCCTATTCGGACATCGAATTTGAACCAGCCTGTACACCGAGTTAACTTCATCTAACAAAGCATCGAACTTTCGCCTGTTTAAAGCCTGCGACGAGATGAGGTTCATTATTTTTGTGGCTACCGCCATTACATTATCAAGAGATGTTAAACCACTCTTAGCACACAAGGCTTGTTGGTGATTGATGCAGTGAAATTGAAGAATCGAATGCCCTACGTCTGTTTGAAATAAACTTATGAAATCATTTTTTTACCCACCATAATTGGAGCACCATCAGTTGTTACGGAAACAATTTTTTTTTAAATCAATTTCTTTTTCAGCAAGCGAATTTTTAACAGCCGTACAAATATCAGTGCTCTTTGCAGTTGTTAGCAACGAATTTATCGCAATTAATTCTTCCTTAATGACGTTTCCAACGCAATATTGAGCAAAAACAGCTAAACCAGCAGATTTAGCGACATCAGTGCTTTCGTCAAGACATAGCGATATAAAAGAAGCAGAGCTAATGTCAATTTTTTGTTGATCTGTTACATTTTCGGCCAGTTTTAAGATTCTTTCTTTTATTGTGTTTCTGGACAGAGGAGTATCTTTGATGCGCTGAATTATCTTATCTTTATTATCGAAATTATCAAAAAGAGAGGGCGTGCATGCTAACGAGACTTAGACTTTTTTGGCATTAGAAGGACGATTATGGAGTCCATGTTACTATAGAGGTTACAAGTGAGTGCAAGTAGTGCAGTCTCAACGAACAAAGCTCATGTCGTCCAGAGTAGTGCAGCTTTGTTCGTTGGGACTGCACTAAGCAGTTTAGTGCAGATGTTGTGTGTTCGTTGGAGTAGTGTAGTTTAGTGCAGTTGCACTCATACTGTTCGTTAGGCCATGGGTAATGCAACTTCGTGCAGCCGGTACAAGTTAGTGCAAATTTTGTTGCATCTGTTTTCGATTAAGTTCAATAAGTGCAGTGTAATTCAGTGTAACGATATCTCTGCACGATATGGCACTAGTATGACGTCATAGTGCAATTAAGTGTATTTTTTCATTTATATTGTTAAATATAGTACCTTAATTTCTCCTCTGCTGTTATAAGTTTTATTCTATTATGAAAGTTATAAAATGTGTGGACATCAGACTTTGAGGAAAATTTTTGATACATCCATGAGCTGTATCTTCGAAAGTAGCAAACTCCTTCGTTTTGATGTTAATCACAAAGTTTCCTTACATTCTAGCGCACAATAGGTAACACGACTAAACGACTAGATATGAACTTTATTGAAAAGCAACGTAAAATCAACTATATCTCTGAAACAATTGATTTTATGACCTAAGTTTACTAAGACTTTTTTGTTTATCTTGACGAGAACTATAACTGGGTAAAATATCCGAACACAATTTTTAAACACCCGGTATATAACTTGGCGATTTTATAGGCTAAGGCCACATACGGCACAGGTTGCTTTCTGCTCTATAACACCGGAACCATAAAAGTGGATAGCTCACATGGCTTGTTAACTACCGTAGCTTATCAATTAGGTCCCAAAACACTCCCAGTTTACGCTTTAGAGGGGTCAGTCGCTATCGCAGGTGCGGCTTTGCATTGGTTAAGGGACAATTTGAACATTATACCTAGTTATTCCGACGTTCAACAATTTGTAGACAAAGCGGAAGAAGTCGAGGGTGGAGACGTGTATTTTGTACCGGCTTTTAGCGGACTTTATGCTCCATATTGGCAACAAGACGCCAGAGGGTACATAATTTTTTTAAATAAATCAACATTCTCGCCTTAAATTTAAACTAAAAATAATTTTATTATTTCTTAGCGTAATTGTTGGAATTACGGAAGATACTGAATCATCGCACATAGTTCGAGCTTCTTTGGAAGCGGTTTGTTTTCAAGTGCGAGATGTTGTTGAAGCTATGAATAAAGATTATGGTGCTAAATTAAAAAATCTTCAAGTAAGCAATAAACGCATCTTTTCTAATTTATTATGAATATTTAATAAATAATTTTATAGGTTGATGGTGGAATGACAACTAATTCAATGTTAATGCAACTTCAAGCCGATTTAACTGGGGTGACTATCGGAAAGCCGAAAATGGCGGAAAGTACAGCTCTTGGAGCGGCGATGTGTGCAGGTGCAGCAATGGGTTGTTGGAACGTTTTGCCGCCGATGGATATTCCGTTGCAAGCATGGCCTCCAAAACTTAAAGAAAACGAACGAGATGTTCGTTATGCTAGATGGAAAGACGCGGTGGAAAGAAGTTTTGGATGGGATAATTAGATGTAGTCGCTTATTACAATGAAATTAAATAAAGGAAATTTTAAGAAATTTGGGTTAAGTATCTTTAGACATACACAGTTGTGATACACATGATATACTATTTCCTTGTATTATCCTTAATTTTTCTTCTTTGTAAAGTGTATCTAAAGTTTTTCTTTTCAACAGCCTTTTTTAAATTTGATGAACCTTAAATAATGTTTTCTTTTTTATTATATGAACACGCTATCTCAGTTATTATGAAAGATAGAAAGTTGCAGTTTTCACGAACCTGGGCTACTTTTTTGTGAAACTTACAATGGCGCAAACCAAATTTTCATAGCCCTCTTCGTTTTTGATATACAAGAAGTGTTTCAAAATTTACGATTGTCAGACACCCCCTGTATCTCGGCTATCCGGAAACTTAGTAAAAAAGTAAAAACGGATCTTAATAGATTTTTCCGCGTAGAATCCAATGGTGCACGTAGAATTTTTCTAGTTATCACGGTTTTTAAGTTATAATTTTATTACAACTTAGGTTTTTTTAAATGGAACTACTTATATTTTATTTTTTGATTGAACTAGAATTTTTTCAAGCTTTTTAATGATGTACGGGGTGTTTCATAATATATGCGCAGGACTTCAGGATGTGATAGCTTATCAAAAAATTTGAAAGACTGTTTCTATCAACTTACCCTCTAAAATGCATAATTTTGGAGATACAAGGTGTTGAAATTTAATAAAAAAATCTTGTAAAAAAGTTTGTAAGTATTTTCTACTCATAATAAGCTAAGTTTTGCGCGAGAAAAAAAATTTTTTAAAGTCATAATTGGTGCAGATTTTGGGGTAGTAGTTGTTTTTATCCCCAACTTCTACGCCACTGGAAAAAATACGGTTTTGAGACGGCCATTTGAACCGTCAATGTTTTGTACATAAAAAAGGTACTGAAGGTAATGAGCTCTAAATTTGACCGTTTTCTAGAAAAATCAACTTTTATGTTGAAAAACATGGTAAATTTTTTGAAATAAAAATTTTATTTTACATTTAAACAAAATTTATGTAAACGTTAGAACAAGTAACAAAGCAAGCGTTAAAATTTCGATTTAAAATAATTTCAAGATGGCTACCACATCCAGTGTACCGGAAGTAGCCTACAACTTTGTTATTTTAAACGGAATGCTACAATTTTTATTGGATATTTGAATTGAAAAGCAGTTTTGTTTGATCAAAATTCACTCGCAAAAAGAGAACCGCAAAAATTCCGTCTTATTTTTTACATACAGTTTGTACTTTTACAATAGGAAGACAGTATTTACGACCAAAGCCTATAGAGAAATATCGAAATTATGATCATTTGTGAGTCAAAGTGCCAAC